AACTGCAGTCAGCCATGTGGAAATCTAGCACTTAACCACCACATTACCTGCTTGCCCCGTCTTGGTGTGTTTTTCAAGCTACCAGGTCCAGGACTCAAACGGTGAGGTTGGCTATGCGAGAACCATCTGCATTACTAACTACAACACCAGCTGGCTTGAAATAAAAACAAATTTTTAAAAATGGGTACAGTCCCCTCCATCTCCCTCCGACCAGCCTGTGAAAGTGTAGAGCTCTGAGGTCAGCAGGTGACATAATGGTTAGGGCACTGGAGTCCCACATGGCTGATCATGTTTCGAGTCCCGGACTCAGTGGCTCATAATGGCTGTGTCACTGGACGCCCATGTAGTTGACTGCAGTTCGTGTCCCAGACCCGGTAGCTTAAAACTCACACGGGGTGCGTGTGCGTGCATGCCCAAAATCCTGAGAGGAGAATGGAGGAGAAGGGATTGCAGTGCAGCCATCCCCTCTGGGGGCTAATTTCTTGCTTTCCATCTCTCTGGGTCTCTGGCAAGTGCATGCATCCTAATAGAAATACAAAAAAACTCTTAAAATAAAAAAGGTGAGGCCGGCAGGTGGCATGGTGGTTAAGGTGCTGGACCCCCACATGGCTGACCATGGTTTGAGCCCTGGACTTGGGAGCTTGCTTTCGCTCTCTGTCTCTCTCTCATCAAATTGAAGAATAATAAATAAAACATGAATTAATTCTTTTTTTAAAAAAGTGCTGAGCTTCACCACACAGAGGGCAGGTGGGAGCTGTTCCTGAAATCTACACTAAGTGAACTCTCCTGCAAGTCCTATTTCACCCCAGCAGACAACCTCTCAGAGTGAGACAGCCCAAGGAGCCCCGCAAAGAGCCCTGCATACGACTCCCGAATCCCGAATCCCTCTTCCCTAGGTGGAACCCCACCTCCAAGGACAGCCTAAATAAGTCCCAGAAGACACAGCAACTTCCCCACAGACCCTGACCCACCCCAAAGTCTTGCAGAGACCCCAAACTCCAAGAGCGTCCAGGCCAAGCAGAAACCTGTATGTGACTTCCCAAAGCTGTTCTCCCCTGCTCTGGAGAAAGCCCAAATAGACTCAAAGTGTCCTGATGTTCCCCAAGATCCAATGGATTGGGTCAGGAGCCCCAGAAACGGTACTGAAGAGCCCCCAAAGGTTATCACGGTCTCAGAGAGTCCCCCAAGTCCCCCATGGCTTTCTAATCGGCTCAAAGACCTCTCAAGTTGTTGCCTGAGGCCCCCCAGATCTCCCAAGCACGTTGGGACCTGCTCATTTCCCTCTAGAAAGCTTTAAGCTGTCCCTGCATTTCCCCCTGAGATTCCCCCCCACCTGTCACCCTTTCAAGCCCTAGTTCAGACCCAGGCCTGGAGCTCACTACGAGCCCCGCTCCCAGACCCTTCCAAGCCACCCCCCGATCTTGTCCCCAGCCCCGGCAACACTCACAAAAGGTCCCGCCTCGCCGTCTTGCAAACGATGCGCAGGAAACGCCAGCCGCCACCGCCCACGTACACGCCCAGCGCCGCCGCCGCGCTCCAGGTCCAAGGCAGCCCCAGCAGCCACAGCAGCCCCAGCGAGGCCACGGAGGCCGCGCCAGCACCTGGAGCCCGCATCCTGGGGACAGGCACAGCGCTGAGGACGCGGGACGTGGACTCCGCCCCGCGGTCGCCGGCCCCGCCTCCGCCGAGAGCTCCGCCCCAGACCCCGCCGCGCCCCTTGCTCCAAGCCAGATTCCGCCCCCAGGCCCTATGATTGGTCAGATCCTCAGACCGGCCACCGCCCTACGCCCGCCTACGCAGCGCTAAACCCCGCCCCCAGACGTGGGATTGGCTACGTCCCAGCCCTGCTAAGTCCCCGGTCCAGGGCTGTACCCCGCCCGGGGCTGGATCCAGGCTTCCACGTCAATCATCATAACAGGCTCCGCCCCATGCCTTGACATGGATGCAATGCTTGGCCCAAAATCCACTTTCTTGTCCTGTCTCCAAGCCTGTACAATTTCCAATCGAGGGCGCCCGAGGCCCGCCGCTATCCCCAGTCAGTCTCGCCGTTCACTGGACCCTAAACCCAGGTTATACCTCGGTCCCCGCCAATAAGCACAAGCCCCGCCCCCATACACAGACCCCGCCTACAAAGTTGCCTATAGCCCCGCCCATAAGTGTATATCTGCCACTCCGAGCTAGGCCCCGCCCCTATGGCCTAGGCCCCTCCCTACTTACCACCCTCGGGTCTCATCACACCTCCCCAGCACCTAAGCCCCGCCTCCACCTGCCCGCCCTGGAGGCCCGCCCTAAGGCTGTCTTCCGTCGTGCCTGTGCCGGCTTCCGGAGGCCAGGATCATAGAGAGGCCTTTCGGGCAAGAGCAAACAGCTAACGAGATCCAGAGGCTAGAAGGGCTCCGTGGAGACAAGCCCCCATCTCCTTGACAACCAAGCCTCGCCCCGCCCACCTCCTTCGCGTGCTTAGGAAACACGTGTGTCTGGCACCCCGGGGGCGTGGCTCCCCGGGAGCCCTAAATGCCTTCCAGGCTCCGGATCCCAGGGGACCCTCAGTAACAAAGTCCAACACGCTGGCACGTGGCGTGGAGGTGGAGGCCCTCGACCCTCACATGGCCGACCACGGAGTCCTGGACCTGGTGGCTGCTTGCTTTCTCACTTTCCCTCTCTCGATCACTCTCTGGTCAAAATGAAAAATGACAATAACAAACAAGTCTTTAAAACAATAATAATAAAAATAAGTTCACGCCCGATCCTGCCTAGATTGGATCCTTGTTCCAGCTTGTTCTAAATCCAAACACCCAAGTCTTCTTTGGTCTTAAAAGCACATTCCAGGAACCCTAGACCGCCTACACACATACCTCAGGGGCCTCTGGGTTTAAATCCAAATCCCGCGTGTATTTTTAGCACCCAGCTAATCCTCAAGCCATATCCCAAAGCCGTGCACGTTAAGTCCCCATGTCACACCCCAGGTGTCTATCGTGCACCCCAGAGGGGTGTCCCCAGAGGATCCCCTAAGCCCTGGGACCCACACTGGCCTGGCTGCCCCCAGACCCGGTTCCCTGGCTGACCTGAAGCAACAGGCAGATCCTGGGTCCTGGCCACTCCTTCCTGGGCTCCCTGAAGTTCAGGCAGGAGGCAGGGGGATCCCCTGAAACTTAGCAGGAGCTGTTTCTGCAGGTTCTTGGGCTCAGCTCTCCTGCAATGGTGCTCTAAGCCTCTCTCTCAAGCTCACGCCTCCTCTGTCCCCCTGCTCAAGTCACCCCTCCTTGTTTATTGGCATCCCGACTTGGCCGACCTTCCCAGCGCTCTCCTTGGGAGGCCGCCAAGGCCGGTTTCCAGAGGCACTTGGAGGACAGGCCTGGCGGGCACCCACCCCCCGCCTTGCAGCCATTGGGCCCTGCAGGCAGCCCAGGGTGGGTGGCATGGGGGTTGTGGAGAGCCAGAGCCCGAGGACAGGTCCAGAGCTCGCAGCTGACATGCTGTTTTTCTGTATTTTTTTTTTTTAATTTTTAAAAATATTTCATTTAGGAAGCCAGCAGTTAGCGTAATGGCTATGTCGCTGGACTCCCATGTAGTCGACCTCGGTTCGCGTCCTGGACCCTGTGGCTTAAAACTCACACCGGGCGTGTGTGCGTGCGTGCCCAAGATCCCGAGAGGAGAATGGAGGAGAAGGGATTGCGGCGTGATCATCCCCCCTGGGGGGTGATTTCTCGCTTTCTGTCTCTCTGTCTCTCTCTGTCTGTCTGGCGAGCGCACGCACCCTATAGCAAAAAAAACCCTCCAAAAACATATATATATTTCATTTAACTATGTATTATTATTAACTTTTTTGGAGAGGTTTATGCTATAGGGCGCATGCACTTGCCAGAAAAACAGAGAGAGACAGAGAGACAGAAAGTGAGAAATCACCAACCCTGCTCAGGGAGATGGTCACGCCGCAATCCCTTCTCCTCCATTCTCCTCTCAGGATCATGGGCATGCACGCACACGCGCCTGGCGTGAGTTTAAGCCTCCGGGTCCGGGACTCGAACCACCATCAACTACATGGGAGTCCAGTGATGCAGCCATTATGCCGTCTGCTGGTCCCAATGTTTCTTATTATTATTTTAATATTTCCAGTGGGGGGTAGTGAGAAAGCAAGCCTCCAGGTCCGGGACTTGAACTGCAGTTGGCCATGTGGGAAGTCCAGCATCCTTAACAACCATGCCACCTGCCGGTGCATGGTATGCTGTCTTGTTAGCTAGACATTGGCCAAGGAGTTCGTCACAACTAAAAACCACACTTCCATAATTACCCTGTCTGGTGGGACTGCTATGACCAACCCATTTCTCAGGCCATGAAACTGATCCCTGGCCTAGAGGTAAAGGGAGTCGGATTCCATAGGGTCAACTATGGTTCGAATCCTGGCCTCCAGCTTGAAAAACATGGTGGGCACGTGTACACGTGTGCCCCAGATCCTAACAGAATGAAAAAATGGAGAAGAGATTGACCACCGTCTCTTGGGGGGTATTTTCATTTTCTCCATCTTTCTATGTTTGTCTGTCTCTGCTCATTACCTGTACCCTCTGGCAAAAAAAAAAAGAATGAAGGGAGAGACCAGCAGGTGGCATGGTGGTTGCGGCACTGGTCTTCCACATGGCTGATGGCAGTTTGAGTCCCGAACGTTGCAGCTCCCTTTGTCATTTTCCCTTTCCTATTCTCTCTCTCTCTCTGTTGAAACCAAAAATAAATAATAATATCAAATTAAATAAATAAATCTTTGGGACCAGCAGTTGGCGTCATGGCTATGTCGTTGGACTCCCACGTAGTTGACCGTGGTTCATGTCCCGGACCCGGTGGCTTAAAACTCATGCCAGGTGCGTGTGCGTGCGTGCCCAAGATCCCGAGAGGAGCATGGAGGAGAAGGGATTGCGGCATGGCCATCCCCCCTGGGGGGGGTGATTTCTTGCTTTCTGTCTCTCTGTCTCTCTCTGTCTGTCTGGCGAGCGCACGCGCCATCTAGCTCAACAAACCTCTGCAAAAATAAAAAACAAAAAACTTCAAATCAACTGAAAGAAAAGGGAGAAAAGGTTGGAGCTGTCACCCTAGTTCAGGTTGAAATTTATCTTTCACAAAAGGCAACTGAGTCTCTCCCCCTGCCCCTCCACTTCCCCCGCCCCCTTTTCTTTTCCCCTAAATTCTCCCCCACTCCTCCTCTTTGCCCTAATTTCTTCTACCCCACTTCCTCTCTCCCCTCCTCGCCCTCTGTCCCTCCTCTTTCTGCCTTTCCCCTCTGATCCTCCCTTCTCCCCTCTCCCCTTCTTTCCCCTTTTTTTTTTTTTTTCTTGGCCGTAGGGCACTTGCGCATGCCAGACAGGGACAGAGACAGAGAAGGAAAGTGAGAAATCACCTCTCCCCCAGGAGGGATGCCCAGGCTGCAATCCCTCCCCCTCCAGTCTCCTCTCAGGATTTTAGACACACAAGCTCCTGATTTGATTTTTTTTTAAATTATTTTATTTAACTTTATTCATTTACTCATTTATTTTATTTCATTTTGACCAGAGAGGGACAGAGCAAGAGAGAGAGAAAGTGAGAAAGCAAGCCGCCAGGTCCAGGACTTGAACCATAGTCGACCATGTGGGAGTCCAATGCTCCTAACCACCACGCCACCTGCTGGCCCCAAGAAAGCGAGAAATCAACCCCCAGGGGGGATGGCCACGCCACAATCCCCTCTCCTCCGTTCTCCTCTCGGGATCTGGGGCATGCACGCACACGCGCCCGGTGTGAGTTTAAGCCACCGGGTCTGGGGCTCGAACCGCGGTCGACTACATGGGAGTCCAGCGACACAGCCATGACGCTAACTGCTGGTCCCCTGATTTCATTTTTAAGCCACTGGTCTGGGACTCGAACCACGCACAGTAGACCACGTGGGAATCCAGCTCCTTCATCACTGTGTTCTTCCTCTTTTTCCGCTCCTGCTTCCTCCCTCTTCACTCCCCTCTCACCAAGCTTCCTAAACCAGGACTAGGAGCTTGCCCAAGACTGTCTTTTCCAGCCCTTGCCACGTCTCAGTCTGCAATCCCCAAATCCAAAACACTTTAGAACCCAACTTTTCTTTAATTACGTATTTAACTTTTTATTAATACATTTATTTATTTTAATTTGATAAGAGAGAGACAGAGAGAGAGAGAGAAGTCGCCAATGCCGAGACTCAAACTGTGACCATGCATGGGGGGTTTCA